GTTTTTTACAACACATAATCCTCCTTTGTCATGAGGGAAAAAATAACAGTTCATCTTCTATAATCTTTGAACTATGCAGATATAAAACTTGACAGTCTTTCTCTACCCTTTCATCAGAATAAGAGAACTCTTAGAAATTTTTGTACCTCTACCTTCCACAACGTTAGTATGATGTTATGATCCAACAACGAAATTTCATACTTCAAAGACATCATTACCGTGATTGATTCAAACAATATGAACACTCTGGTACCGTTTTGTTAGAAGATAACGACATGCATAATGATCGCCCAATAAAATAGACACCAAAGCTTTACGTGAAAAACCTTTTCGGGAAAAATAACGGGCAGAAGATGAGAAAATTCATTAATGTCAAGAGAAGAAGAACACAATAGGAGCTCTCATGAACAACCTAATCACTAATCTTAATCCTTAATATACTTGATTACAATAAAACTATATAAAGTACAAATCTACTTTAATAAAGTTTTCTACTTCTATCAGACTAAGTTTATTACTTTCCCAAATTTATATATTAATTAAGTTATGTCACTTTGAATTCGAGTCAAACTATAACATAATGAATTATTAAATTTATTAATTTCATTTAACTTTAATAAAACTCTATCGTTTTTCCTTAATTGATTTAGGAAGAGACTCTATCTTTTTCTAACCTATAGGATCGATAAAAGAGAATTCAAAACCACTCAACTAATTTATATATAATATGAGTTAATCAATATGCTCCCTTGTCCTCTCTATAATTAGCCATATGAATGATGGTTTGTATCTTCATTAATTTCAATATTATTATAAAGTAAACCTTTTACATACTTTATATTGGTGCATATGTAACCCTTTTAAGTTTCCAACAATAATCAATTTCATCCATTTGTTCATTTACGTCTCTATTTATAATATATTTGATTAAGTTAATGTCACTTGTTAATCAAGTGTTAAACTAGTTGAAAATTAATAAAAATGTACCCATTCTACATAAAAAAAAATGATATTATTTTAAAATGTTTTTATTTCTTTCATATTTTTTTTAAATAAACAAATAAAAACCATTAATTAAGATTCAAACACATGTATATTCAAAACTAAAATTCCAAAACCCATTTAAACAAAAGGCCTCAATGGACCATTGTAACCAAATATGAAGGTTTGAACAAGTCTACTTCTCAACCTGAAATTCAACAGATCTTTAAAAAAATAATCAGATTGAAAACATTAAAATAAAAGCCCAACTGTCGCCTTTCTTCAAAGCTCAAATAAACCCCAAAATTAAATTAAAAGACCCAAATGAAAGTTGGTGTCTACCATGACCGAGGTCTTGTTTCCATGCCCAAAATTTTCAAACTTTAAAAAAATTAAATTAATCATTTTAAAACAAAATTAATAAATAATCAAACTTTAAAAAATTCTTAACCGTAAACTGATCTAATAAAAAATTAACCGATCAATTAATCTAACTAAACTTCAGTTCAATCGATTGATTCGACTAAAATCAACGATGAATACCCCTACCTAAATTGACACTATTTCATTTAGGAAAAGAAGATAATTGTTTGGTACATGGGCTGACAATAAGGCTCCTTTACCACTATAAAAGGGCACTTCTCATTGCACCATGGAAAGCAAAAGAGCTCAATGATGTCTATATAAATAAATCCTGTCTCCATGAACCTGCATGCCATTTTAGGTAAACCAAACCTTGGTAATATTTTGTAAGTCCATTTAATATTACATTTTACTAGATTAAATAACTGGATGAAGATGAGCACGGTTGAATTTAATTTGATTGTTACTATTGTTGGTATAATATATAAGAGGACATAATATCAAATACGTTTAAACATTTAATATCATTCAATTTATAGATGAAGAGAGATTTAGGTAGTATATATATTATATCATAAGGTTAAAAAAAGGATGGAAATGAGAGTGGCTGTTCAAGCTTAAACCTCCAATGTTGACAATTTTGTTCTCACAAATTCATTTCAACAACTACCCCAAAGCTAATTGTCTTCCATAAAGAAAACCGGCATTTTGGAAATGTTAGGCATGCACTTACATACGTGGAATGTGTAATATTTCTTAAAAGTTCATATGAGGCATGCACTTACATACGTGGAATGTGTAATATTTCTTAAAAGTTTATATGAGGCATGCAGTAACATACGTGGAATGCGTAATATTTCTTAAAAGTTCATATGATTTAACATAAAGAAAATACTATTGACGACTTTAAGTTGTGAATTCATTCATATTGAAGTGATAAAATAATAAAAATAAATAAGTTATTGAAAAAGTTCTTTATTAATTAGGTTAAATAGTATTTTGATGTTTAAAGTTATAATATAATGGGAAACCGCTTACCCTGGTTTACGGGCCTCCCAATGTGAAGCCACCACCTACTTATGAACCCCATGTACATGGACAGTACAGATCGAGGGGTTTTGGTACAATTGCATCTTTTAGAAATTTTTAATAATTTTTAATATTTTCTATTGATTATCTAATTTTGTATCCCTGAAATTTTATAACTTTGCATCTTTTAAATTTTAGTATAACATCCTAAATTCACATCTTTAATATAAAATTTTTACGTCCGTCCCTAACTTGTCCATAAACTAATGAAGAAAGAGAAGTATGAGCCTAAGACAACAGTACATGAATCTCCCATGAAACCACTTACATAGTTAGAGATAAATCAAAGATGCCAGCAGAATGGTCCTTCTAAAATTTTAAATTATCGTATAATTTAAATGATTTTCTCAACGAGGATACCGATAGTTGTACTTGTTGGATTGCCTATTCTATAATTCTATATCTTCTCGTTTCTAAATGAGAATACCCTGAATTCAACATATATTCCATATGTGCCAACTGAAGGTTTATTTGTCATAATTTTTCCACTTGTATTGTCACCCATGTGCATGCCATTTAGGTCATCGAGGATGGCTCCATGTGAACATAACGTTTCTTCTTATGTTCCACTACATGGAGAAATAGTATACGACAGATAAATTGGCTTGGCATAACACAATAATCTACGGCAATGGCTTTCCATTTTTCATTCATGTCTAAGGATATAGATACATAATATGATCTTCTAATAACCTTTTTAAATAAATAAAAAATAAAATTTAAAATATATGTGTTTAACACTTTTTTTTGATTAATCTAGGGTAAATAGAATGTAGTATTTGTTCAAAGATAACTCTCAACCTCTTAATATTGAACACTCACATCCCTAATATCTATGGTACACGAATTTGAATCTTAAAGGAATAACAACAATTCTTTTATTTCACTTGTTCGTCCCGTGTTTGACGCATAAATGCATGGGATAGCGATACACAAATTCGAATTACGTAGATGATGACAGCTGCAATGACACTTGGAAATGAGCGTGGTAGTTGATAATTTTACACCTCCATTTTTTACAATTTTGTACCTACAATTTCATTTCAACAATTAATCCAAAATTATTGTCTTATCGAAAAAGAAAAACATCCCATGAACCGTACTTTCTCTTCTTCTTATTCATGTGTTTTACATTCACTCGTACGAATGATTGTATTTAAAGTATGTAATAAATTTTAAAACTAATCTAATAAACCTAGAACTTATAACTTAAAATAATATAAGAGGACAAAAATAAATAACTTGATTTGATCAAATATACTTACTCAAATATAAATGTAATTAATATCACTTTGATCAATATTAATAATAAATATCTATTAAAAAAGTCAAAAGTACGAAATACCGACAGTAATAATATATTGCTGTCAGCCTATCACCATTAAAATCGTTTTCTTTTCTTTACTTCTAGAGAACCGACAAGTTGAAAGAGATTATGTCTTTCCATGCATGGAGATTTGGTTGGTTGAAACTATTTTATTTGGATTAATCCTTGAGCCGCCTGAATCCATGTGACTTTTCTTAAAGTGCTCATTTTTTCATACAATTAGTTATACCAAATCAAATAATAATAACAATCAAATTATACCAAATTATAACATATTAAACAAAAATTAGAGGAAATTTATTATTTAAATGGATATATTATACTAAATTATGATATGTTAAACGAAAATAGAGAAAATTTATTATTTAAATAGATATTTAAAGGATTAAATTTATTCTTAATATTATATAAAATTATAATATGTAGATCAAAACAGGCTCTATTAAGGACTAAACAGATAATAATTAAAATGTTAGGCGTTGAAAATATAATTTATCCTGTTTATTATATTAGTAATTAGAATTTCAATTGTTTTATAAAATCTTAAAATCGATGCGGTGCACGTTTGATAATGGGATGATTTAAGTGGAAGGTACTCTTACGTTGATGAGTTTTTCCTTATTCCTGCCACGTAGGATAAAGATGTTGTCACATAGAAAAAAATTCAATAAGGAACTCTTATATGACAACACATTCATACTACTTAATGAGTGTTATTTTAAGATAAAAAACTTTAGAGTATTATTTTAGTAAAAAAAAAGGGAAAATATATTATTGAGGTAAAATTGCCATCAACCTCTATAATTTTCTTTTGTGTTTCCCCTCTAACTCTGCAATAACGCTCTTGTAGTTTTCTTCAATCATGACTGAGGCCTTGTATCCACATGGTACGAATTTCAACCAAGTGGGACATGAATGGACCAAAATTACATTTATGAATTACTGAGAAGATTTAATAACACCTAGCTGATTATAATTTTCTTTTGTGTTTCCCCTCTAACTCTGCAATAACGCTCTTGTAGTTTTCTTCAATCATGACTGAGGCCTTGTATCCACATGGTACAGAATTTCAACCAAGTGGGACATGAATGGACCAAATTACATTTATGAATTACTGAGAAGATTTAATAACACCTAGCTGATTATTTCCAATGGAGTGATAACAGAATTGTGGGACACTTGGGCTAACCATAAAGCTCCTTTAGCACTATAAAAAGGGCGCTTGTGATTGCAGAATGGAAAGCAAAGAGCACCATGATGTCTACTACATACTTGTTAGTTTTGATACTTGGAGTGGTGGCTCTCACCGCTCCCTCTTTTGGTACCTATGAGTCACCCAACTATGGGAAACCACCCACTCCTGTTTACAAGCCACCCTACGGTAAATCTCCACCAACTTATGAACCTAAGCCCCCTGTCTATGAACCACCAAAGAAAGACAAACCTAAACCCAAGCCCCCTGTCTACGAGCCACCAAAGAAAGAGAAACCAGAACCCAAACCACCAGTCTACGAGCCACCGAAGAAAGAGAAACCTGAACCTAAGCCACCAGTTTATACACCTCCAAAGAAAGAGAAGCCTGAACCTAAACCACCAGTCTATGAACCTCCAAAGAAGCCACCAGTGTATGAGCCTAAGCCACCAAAGCCACCGGTTTATACACCACCAAAGAAAGAGAAGCCTGAACCCAAACCTCCGGTCTATGAGCCTCCAAAGAAGCCTCCAACGTATGAGCCTAAGCCACCAAAGCCACCAGTTTATACACCACCAAAGAAAGAGAAGCCAGAACCCAAACCACCAGTCTATGAGACTCCAAAGAAGCCTCCGACGTATGAGCCTAAGCCACCAAAGCCACCAGTTTATACACCACCAAAGAAAGAGAAACCAGAACCCAAACCACCAGTCTATGGGACTCCAAAGAAGCCTCCGACGTATGAGCCTAAGCCACCAAAGCCACCAGTTTATACACCACCAAAGAAAGAGAAGCCAGAACCCAAACCACCAGTCCATGAGACTCCAAAGAAGCCTCCAGTGTATGAGCCACCTTATGGTCACTATCCAGGACACCCTCCAATGTGGAAGCCATAATTAAAAGGTCCCATCCTCTAGCCATACCCAACAACTGAGCTACTATGGCCATTTAGATAGAGTAACCATGCAATAAGAGTGGCTATCGACTCATGTTATATGTTTCCTTGTTCGTAATGTTTTCTTTTATGTCATGTTTGATGAAATATCAGGTGTCAGCGAGAATGCCAATGACAGTCCTTGTCAGATTGCCTACTCTATATCTTCTTGTATTTCAATGAGAAAAAAATCCTGAATTCAACATATATTTTAAATGCGCAAACTGAAGGGTTATGTACTTTCTTAGATATTTTCTTGTATTCGTATGCATGTGCATGCCCTTTTTGGTCGTCCAAAATATCACCATATCAACATTCAACACAATAATTTTTGTTTCATTAAGAAATAAGATAGTTAAAGAAATTTCTTACACATTCAAAGTAATTTACGAATTATCACTCGTTAAGATTCAACAGATTTATCAATACATTTGAAATTATTTTCTTTAAATATGAGACGAACGTAAAATTTTATGTCGTGGGCGAATTTCTAAAATTTTAAAAGACAAAACTTAAAATTTTAAAGGTTGAAAACAAATTTTTAATAAAAAAATAGATAAATTGCGATTTTTCGTCCATCCCATGGGACAAATTGTCATAAATCACTATAATTCTCTGATCAATGATTTTAAAGGGATTACACTATAAATGTAATATTTTAAGGAGAAAAGAAAATACCATTTTACCATTATAAACGGGAGTTCACCTCTTAAGAGGAGTGTTCAAACTTCAGACCACAAGATTGCATAAAAAATAATTTATAAAATATAAATGGATTAAAACCTAAATTCATCATTTAGGTAAGGTTTGGGTGTGGTCTCTGACATGGGTTCAAATTCCACCATGGAAACACATAAGTTTCATTTTGGATGAAGACGAGCCACGTGCAAAGGGTGTTTAGTGGACAATATTTCTAAGACTTTTCTCTCAATTGGATTTTTGTTATGAAATTTTCGACTCATTTCAAAAAGTTTCGTAAAATTATTGTCTGTATATTTTTAAGAGATCTAGATCTAGTAAATTTACGTCTACATATAAATAATATTATTTAAATTTAGGTTATTAAAGAAAAAATGATATTTTTTATCACTAGGATTATTCCTTGAGTTATTGTTTATGTTATAATCATGTTAAATTGTGTAATTATTAAAATGTTAAAATATTAATAATACATAATTATACTAAATTTCCTCGACTTTAAATATGTTGTATTTATATATCGTATCGAATCATATTTATGCTGTGTCAGAAATTTTCAATTCCCATCTTGACCATGAAATAGTGTTTACCTAACTATGGGTACCTACTCCATGCAAGGTTCTCCACGTCCCCACCATCCTGTTCGAGTATATGCTTGAAAAAGTCAATGCTAATAAATAATTAGAGGTTTAAATTGAGAAACAAGATTGGTGTCAATGTCACACTACAACTGTCAAGTCTTTGAAACAATTGGTCTTTTACTTTTATTTGTCGTGTAATGTGTTTTGTCTTGTTTTTGTATTCAAAAGCTAAGTAATCTTCTCTAGCTGCTCAATATCCTTGTTTTAAATTCACATTTTCTATTGCATTCCATCATGTTTGATAGTGTATTGAGGCTTTAAGCTTAGGCTGAAGTTTCATTTTGTAGGGGTTTAAATATGTTAGGTGTTTTTACATTATTTAATTTAAAAATTAAAAATTAAATTTTATATTTTTATAATTTTTGTTTGATAACGTATAAATTGTTTGTCCAGCTCAGTTGGTAGAGCACAAGACTCTTAATCTTGGCGTTGGGTGCAACCTACTATCATACCTCCCCTTACCTTGTTACATATGAAAATAAGGGTTAGTTAATTTTTTTTCCTAACACATTAAACTAAATTTAGCCAATTTTCTAAAATAATGGGAATGCACTTAGCCCGATTTAGTGCATCTGCCACTGTGTTAAACTGTTTGCGAACACCCTATGAGGGATGGATGATCTTGACCATTTTACTTTAATACACACAAACGCTCATACACACACAAACGCTCCACATAAATAAATTGATATTCAAAATCATATAAATATATACATATATTAAACTAATATTTTGTATTGATATTATACTGTGAAATTATTTTTAATGGTAAAATGGATTATTCAAATCTACCTAAACTTGATCTAGTTTTAGCTCATCCAAATTATAAAATATGAGGACGAGAATGAACTACACGATTTTTTTTTGCACCGACAGACACATCTAGACATGCATGTCATGGTGAGATATAAGGTGAAGAGGAAATAAGCCTTTTTGATATTTCAAAGTTGGAATTTGGTGAGAGTAAAGCCATAGAAATTCAATGCTTTCTAACAACTTATTTTATCTTCTTCACAAGTGTATACCTAACTTGACCATATGTTGCTTAGTTTATTTATGATTGCTTTGACCTTTAACTACTACTTCCATCCAATACGAAAAGCAAAGAGAGATATTAAGAATGATAGAGGTTTCAATATTTGTAATATTTTAAGTATTTGATTTATAAATTTGTTTAAAATTTTAGTCCAAGTGATAATTTTTTTTGTTAAGAGATATTAAAATAATGTTAGATAGTGTCTAAATAATTATTAATACTCCGAAATTATATAGGATTTCAAAAAAAGTGTTTTGGAGTGATTTTTTTTAGCCTCATTATGAGTTTTTTAGGTTGTAATATCGATATTGTTCATACAATATACATATTTATGAAGTTAGCCTTAAATATTTGGATTTTAAAGTATTCATTATCATGAAAAAGAACAAGAATACCATATGACCCAATAAAATTTTGTGAAATTACTTGATAAGTACGATCAATAGCCATGAACTACTAAATGATTAATATACCCTTGAGCTTAAGGTTTTAGTGATGAGATATTGTTTATCCATGCGATCTTAACGGTGAAAGATGCTATTTATCTATGTGATATTGTGAGAAAGGTGTCATTATATCAAAATAATTACTGCATTTTCATTGACAAACAAGTGAAGAATTACATGGTTTATATAGCACTTGGTTGCTGAACCAAAAAGCAAACTTCCTAACAGACTTTGACAAATATAACCGTGTAACAACAACCTAACAACCTATGATTCTGATTGTCTGCAACCCAGCATACACCATCAACTATGAGCTTAACTACAAGCTTCTTGAATCTTCTCCATGCACACCCTGCAGCATACCCTGGAGCTCGAGCAATGTTAGAGCATGATCATTGATGTTCATTAACTCATTATGCTAACATTCCCTCTACTTCTTCTTCTTTTGTTCTTCTGACCTTGAACACACTATTACAACAAGCTCTAAAAACTAATTACAACTAATTTTTAACATTCAACCTTCTTGATGAAAAGATGAACACCCGAAACGAAAGTGTGATACATCTTTCCGTTCGATTTGAATCGGAAGTGCCGATGGTTCCTTCCGTTCGATTTGAATCGAAAGTGTCGAACCTCCTTCCGTTCGATTTGAATTGAAAGTGCGATGCTTTCTTTCGTTCTTCTTATTCACCTTCATTTCTTTCTTTTTCCGAGCCCGCTGCCTTATCTCTTATGCTTTGACCTTCATCTCTTCCGGTGTAAGAGAAGGTTTAGGTGCCTCAGCATTTTTATTGACGGTCTTATCTATGTTTGGACCAGCTTCATGCTTAACTACCCAGTTCACGACAACCTCAAGACTTGTGTTATCAGAAAAGTGGAGAGTACGTATTGCTTATGCGGTAGGGAAACCCATCGCTTCCAGTTCTTCAAGCAGTTTTTTGTCAACCTCTGGCACAACCATCCCTTTAGACTGGCTGGTGCTACTTACATCAACAGCTTCCTCTGAGTCCATTGCTACCTTTGGAACCTCCAAATTGATTGGTTTTGATGCCTCCAAAGTCTTATCTACAAACTAGATGTCGCAACCGCCTTTCGGTTTGGCCCCGGAATTGGGCTTCGACTTGAAATGAATTGGGTTGGGAGTCGCCACCGACCACTTTAAATCGAATTTAGGTGGGTCGGACACCATCTTACCTGATCTGCGTTATACCAGAAATGTGTCGGGTTCGGGAGTCGGTTACGGTCAAGGAAGGATTAGCACCCTTGAACCGCCCTTTCGGTACCAATTAATTTATCAGTTGTTTTTAATTGCGAAAATTACAAATTTAAATTGAAATTTAGAAATCCGACTCGAATTGCTTACCTCTGATTAATTGAGATTTTACTGAAAAGGACAAAAAATGTTAGATAGCAAGAATAAATAAATAAAAATGAAAAAAAAAATAGTGCTAAAAAATAAATCAAAGGAAAAGAAAATAATAATATACCAAAGAAGTAAAATTAAAATTAATTAAATAAGTAAATAATAAAGGAGTATTAAAAAAAATTATTTAAAAGTAAAATGAAAGCATATATAAAAGAAAAATACTAATAATAATTAAAAAGCATGATAATAATAATGAATAAAATAAGAATTCAGGGATCATATTGCAACAATATAAAATATAAATGAGGATCAAATCGAAACAATTAAAAATCCAGCGGCCAAATTGAATGTGGTGACTGAAATGAAATGCGACTCAAAATACCAGGGACCACAGAGAGAATTTAAGAATCTCCTATTTGCATAATGGTCCCTGCTATATATATATCTAACTCAGCTTGTTTCGTTTCATTCTCGACATTTCTCAGAAAACCATCTCGTGAGAGAGATGCTCTCAGCCGGCCCTCCGACCGAACCTCGACCACTGATCATCGCCGTCTTCGGCCGCCGCCCGTGACGGCCGAAACAAAGGCCAAAACCTTACCAAATGCTCCTCTAAAGCCCCTCGTCCTAACCCCGAGCACCAGTCACGCAAAAACACCCTTAAACGGCGTAGATCTAAGCCGAAACCAATCGGCTTCCTCACCTTTCTGATGCGCTCCTCTGGTTCTGGATGTCCTTGCTTGTTTTCCTTTTATTTGTTGTATTTTTGGCGTTTGGTGTTGGCTATTGTGGTTTGGTTTCACGGTTGATGCTTCTGTTTTTTGCCTTGTTCTTGTGTTCTCGTTTACTGTTCTCGTGGATTCTCGTCCGGTTTGTTGTGATGGCTCTCTGTTTGTTTTTTCTGTGTGCTTGGTTTACTGTGAGCTGTTGTTTTTCTTTTGGTTTCGACTGGGTTTGATGGGTTTTTGTATCTGACGTTTCGGCTTATGATGGTTTCTCGATGATGGTGTGTGTTGGTA